GGAGATATTCAATCTGGTGTTCGCACAAGGAGTGCCCAACAGAATCTAGAAGCTATGCTTGCTTGTTTCATCTCACAAGTAGAACCAAAGAATATTGAAGAAGCTCTAGCTGATTCTGATTGGATCAATGCAATGCAAGAAGAACTCAACCAGTTTTCCAGAAATGATGTCTGGAAACTTGTTCCCAGACCTACTCATCAACATGTCATTGGGACAAAGTGGGTCTTCCGGAACAAGATGGATGAAAACGGCGTTGTTGTAAGAAACAAGGCCCGGTTAGTTGCAAAAGGATATTGTCAAGAAGAAGGTATAGATTTTGATGAAACCTTCGCTCCAGTTGCTAGACTTGAAGCTATAAGGCTGTCTAGCCTTTGCTGCTCATAAGGACTTCAAGGTCTATCAAATGGACGTCAAAAGCGCATTTCTCAACGGAAACCTAGAGGAAGAAGTGTATGTTGAACAACCTCCAGGATTTGAGTTACACACTAAGGGAGATCAAGTGTATAGACTCAAAAAGGCGCTGTATGGACTCAAACAAGCACCAAGAGCTTGGTATGATACATTGTCTCAATTTCTTATAGACAATGGATTTACCAAAGGAGTAATTGACAAGACATTGTTCAAACTACAAGATGGAGAAGATCTCCTATTAGTTCAGATCTATGTGGATGACATCATATTTGGCTCAACTAAGAAAGATCTATGCACCAAGTTCTCAACCCTCATGCAAGGAAAATTTGAGATGAGCATGATGGGAGAACTCAACTACTTCCTTGGCCTTCAAATCAAACAGAGAAGTGAAGGCACTCTCATCAATCAAGCCAAGTATACAAGGGATCTTGTCAAGAAGTTCAAAGTTGATCAGAAATCATCCGTTTCTGTTCCCATGAATACATCCACCAAGCTTGATATGGATATAGATGGAAAGGATGTAGATCAAACTCTCTACAGAGGAATTGTCAGATCTCTACTTTACCTTACTGCAAGCCGTCCGGATATCTCATATGCAGTAGGTGTTTGTGCCAGATTCCTGTCAAAGCCAAAGGAAAGTCATCTGATAGCAGCTAAAAGGATTCTTAGATACCTCAAAGGAACTCAGAACATGGGTTTGTGGTATGCTAAGAGAAATTCATTTGAGTTAGTGGGATACTCAGATTCTGACTTTGCCGGATGCAAAGTTGACCGGAAAAGTACATTTGGTACTTGTCAATTCATTGGTGGAAATCTTGTTTCTTGGTTCAGTAAGAAACAAAACTCCATTTCTACATCAACAGCAGAAGCAGAGTACATTGCAGCTGGTAGTTGTTGTGCTCAAATTTTGTGGCTAAAGCAAAAACTACTGGACTATGGAGTCAAGACAAAGGAAGTGACAATCTTTTGTGACAATCAAAGTGCCATAGCCATCTCTCAAAACCCAGTGCATCAATCTTGCACTAAGCACATTGATGTCAAGCATCACTTCATCAGAGATCATGTGGAAAAGAAAGATATCAAAATTGAGTACATCTCAACTGAAGAACAACTGGCGGATATCTTCACTAAACCACTAAGTGAAGCCAAGTTTTCCGATTTGCTTCACAAAATTTGTCTAATTCAATTAGACTGAGTGTGGTGCACGTGGCAGTTCATTTTCCACGTTTGTCAAAATGATGGGTGGGGACGTGGCCTTGGGAACAGTTAAAAACCCAATCGCCACTAGCCGCATAAATCGCCCACATTAAACCCAATCGTCAGTATAATCAGACCTCAACTGCCCACTCAGCACACTCAAATCTTTCATCGCCTTCTTCACGAGAATCTTCTGATAAAATTCTCAAGAAACCTAATTTCTTCAGATCTTCTCAAATTTCTGAGAAAATGAAGATTGTTGGCGCTAATGTCCAGTTCCACAAGTTAGAAGCCAAGTGCTCATCACCGACATTCTTTCAAAGCTATCTGAAAATGATAGCCGCTCAAGAACTCTCCAAATTTCTTCAAATGGAGATTCGCCTCAAATTCGAGGAAGAAGTTCTTGAATTCTACAGAAATGGAGAGGTCAAAACTGATCATTCAAAGAAGAACCCACAGAGGACATTTCCAGTCATCAAGTCCACTGTTGGAGGCACAAAAGTGAAGCTTTCACAAAAGAAATTGGGAGAAAAGCTTCGCCTTCCCAATTCTGGAGTTGAAGTTGGGAAATTTCCAGTCAAAAATCTGGACGGGAACATCATTGGAATCTCTGGGCAAGTTCCTTTTGGCCCTGCGAAGAAAGCAGATCTAAACAACGATTACAAGTTGGTTTTGGAACTGGTCATCGCTTGCCTCGAGTGTGGAAGTGGAGGTCATGCCGATGACATCACCCAGGAGAGAGCCTTCATCATCAACTCTATCATTACCAAAACTAAGGTAAACTGGGCTGCACACTTTTTCAAATCCATTTCCAAACATCTAGGAAAGCACAATCAGAAGTATCTCTGTCAAGGTCTGTATATTGGACATATTTTGGAATCTATGGGCGCTGTAGTTAAAGGGAAAAAGTATGAAGCCAGATACTGGCTATACTACTTATCCTCCAAAGGAGAAAACAGAGCAAGTGCTAGTGCCACTGCAGAAGAAAGCTCATCAGACAATGTTCCACTCATCAATTTCGCAAAGACTGCCAAGAGAAAGCATGTGGTGTCTCCCTCTCCAAGTGTTGAAACATCACAGAATCTTGATCCAATAAATCTTGAAGAAGAAGAAGAATCCTCTGACCAAGGAGAACTACAAAGGAAAAAGAAGAGGAAGATCAACTCTCCATCAACATCTGGAAATGTCAATCCGGATGAGTTGAAGGAGAAGGAACCTGCTGAGGAAACCTCTGCTCAAAACCGGAGCCCTCAACAACTTGAAGAAGAAATTCCTCAAGTCCAAAGCCTTCCAACCTCATCACCTCAACCTCAAATAGATGATGCAGATAACCAATTCTGGCAGCTCTACTATGGTTGGAAAGCCTGGAAAGTTGGAAATTCAGCAGAGCAA